GAGGAGGCTTCCATTTTACTTCTGTGCCTTGCCTCTTTGAACCAGACCTGACAATGACCTTTGACCCTGTCGCCTTGGTTACCGCAGCCAGGGAAACAGGTGCTTCCTGACTCTGAGAAGGCCATCCTGGACATCCTGGAGCATGACAGGCAGGAGGCCCTGGAGGATCGGCAGGAGCTGGTGAACAGGTTGTACAACCTGCACGAGGAGGTGCGGCAGGCGGAGGAGCTGAGGGACAAGGTGGGCTGCTCCTCGATCGAGCCTTAGGGGTTCACAAACGCTGTGTGCTCAGCGGGGCCTTGGGGACCCGGCACAGGGTGTGAAAAGTAATGAACGGAAATAGGGCCATTCTCCAAATAGCCTGCAACCAAGAAAAAAAATAAACAATTGTGTGAAGCTCACACCTTTGCCGAGATCTCTCCAGGTCGCTTGAGTTGAGTGTGACAGTAAAGGGTGTTTGCTAGTGTCTTCACACGTGCAACAGCACAGAGAATGAGCAGGAGACAGGTGTGAGACCAGTTTTATAATGCTTGTCTCGATGCCTCTGTACTCCGCTGTGTTGTCACAGGAGACCTTCCCTTCAATAATGAATGTGCAACACAAAATGTGTCAGTGGAAAATGCAAGAAGTCACTGAAAAGTTTCTTGGGGAAGAAAAAAAAACATGTTTTAATGCCTCTGTTACATTCAATGTCTAGATTTGATAAGGTCAGATAAACTTTGCCTGTTTCCGTATCTCAAACCTCAACTCAGGTGAAAGTGTAAGGTTAGTTATTCTGACACGAATGGCCCATGGGCCAGAGCAGACCTCGGTCTGATGTGATGTAGAAAACCTTATGGGCTGAACAAACTCACCACCCAACGTGATAAAAAAAACATCTAAAGAGCACAGTCCTAGGACAGATATCAGGAACAGAGAAATAAGAAAATGCACACGTAAGGTATTTAACCTTGTTTTACAGCAAGGTTGCTTTTCAGCTATTGTTGCAGAGCTATTGTTCTAGGCTTTCTCAGGACCTCTCTGAAGATACAGTGAGTTATTGGCCATGGGCAATCTTACCACTGTATCGCTGTAAATTTTAATGTCTCCTATTAATGTATATTCAGCTTCAACATGTTTCCGGCTTCAGATGTACATCATCCGTGTAATAGCCTTGATTATATGTTTATCAGATTTAAATTGTGAATCATGCATAACACATGATTTGAATACTCCGTTCCTATTTCTGCACAGCATTCACTGTGTGAATGTCTGTTGTATTAGTATTCTAAATCTGCGTCTCATACGTGCCTTTCTCTGACATTTATGTAACATTTAAAGTAAATAGAAGTGACCTTGTAATAAGCACTGTATCAGTTTTATCACTCTCTCTGGCATGCCCCTGTCTGACATTTATAGAACATTCATAGTAAATAGAAGCAATCTTGTAATAAGCGCTCTATCATTTTTATAATCAAGTTCATTTTCAGTAACTGAAAAAATTTCAGACCATGCTTGTAGATCAGTGTTGGAAGCACAATTTTAGTTGCACTTCCTTTGTGAGGGAATGTGATGCTCACTCAATGTTAAGAGGTAGTCCTGAATTTCTTGGTCAAAATGACTGTTAGAGAAGTGCTTCTGTGATGGGTTGTATAAATCAAAGTTCAGATGGAGGAAATCAATTTGGAAAACTGTAGCGCTTTTGAGAGAGTGAGAAGACGTGGGAGTTGATGCAAACGGCAATCAAAATTTGATTCCTGAGTGAGATTTTGCCTCATATGTTTTATTAAGGCATTTTTTACCTACTGTTTAGAAACTATCACAGACAGTTTGACCATATCCACTGTGTTTTATGATAAAATAATGCATCCACAGTACCTGGAGGAGAAAGAGGACCTGGAACTGAAGTGCTCCACGCTGGTGAAAGACTGCGAAATGTACAAGAACCGCATGAACACCATAATGATTCAGCTAGAGGAAGTGGAGAGGGAGCGAGACCAGGTGAAATATTGGCAAGGGTTTTAGGAAGTTGGGCACTGAATTGGTTTAAAATAATTTCCATGTTAAAGAAAGCTGCTGTTGGAAGAGGGGAACAGACATTTTGGTTTGGGGAACACTCCTGGTTCATTGTGCTCTTTCTCTTAATGGCTTAAAGGCTTTCCGCGCCAGGGACGAGGCTCAGAATCAGTTCTCCCAATGCCTGGTCGACAAGGACAAATACCGCAAGCAGATCCGCGAGCTGGAGGAGCGGAGCGACGAGCTGCACATCGAGATTGTGCGCAAGGAGGCGAAGATCGTCAACCTGGAGTCTAAACTGAGGCGCCTCTCTAAGGAAAACGGGTTGGATCAGGTGAAGCAGGGGCACTGCATCTCAAACTCTCTGCCTGTTGCACTTCTGACTTCTTTTATTCCCACAATGTAATTACCAAATTTTCCCTTTCTAAGACTTTGTGTTCCCTACACAACGCAGAGTTTGCCCCGAGACATACCTTCAACCATAATATCACAGACCTTTGGTCAGCCGGACCCCAAAAAGGACGAGCAGTTTGACGACTCCGGCGATGAATCTCCAGACGACAACAAGTTCTTCCTCCCGGAACCCCGGCTCAGACGGAGACCCAACCTGAAGGGACTGCAGGTTGACAGAGGAGCTTTTCATATCCCATTTGCATTATTTTTGGAGAGACTTAGGTCACACATTTTCTCTTCATCAATTGTTTCATGTTTCTAAAATGCAGAATTGACAATAACACACAGAATGACCTGTCTCTGCTTTCAGATAAGGTCAAAGTCTCCGGTCAGCGCACCTAAAGTCATCGATTTTCAAGGTAATTTTTTGACGTTTTATTGAAAACGATTACATACAGTAAGATACTTCATTAAGGCCCACTGTGTTTTCTCATTTCCATCTGTGGCAGCCCAAATACACACCAATGGGGAACTTTCAGATGCCCACAGCACAGACACCAACTCTTTCACCACCAATTCCACTACGACTCCAATCACGCCCACAGGAGAATTTATCAATAAGCATGTAAGTATGCATGCGACCATACTCTCTGCTAAAATATCAGAACAGTCTGTGGACCAGGGGGTGGAGATAAAACTAGTTCAGCTAGTTAAAATTAAATTCAGCACTGATATCAGGAAGCATGGTTTTGCTCGCTTGAGTTGTCAAGGTAAGACCAGCCTTGATGCAGTAGCAGAAACTCTGTAGATAAATGGCGAGGCTAGCTAGGCTCAATGGGCCTATCTTTATCATCATATGTTATTTTGTATTTTATTATGTTTTATCATTGTCAGTAATATGTATGGGGATGCAGATTATTGTGATTGATTATGGAAATGAATGATGAGTACAGTGGTTGTGAAAATACATCATTTGATTACCATTTCATCTCTGAGTACGAAGTCCCCCAGTTTAGCTGAGCTTTTGATTTTGGTTGTAAATCTCTTGTGGAATGCTTTGCTGATTTGAAACCTAACTGTTTGGGTTTGTGTTTTCATGATTCAATTAAAAATTATTTGTGGGCACAGTTTTATTGTTCTACCAAGGAGTGATGTCTAATATGTGAGTTAGACTGCCATTTTTTTTTAAACCTGCAGTGGTCCAGGTTTCAAATTAGATTTATCTTTAATAAGAATTACTCATATTTTGTTAATATATTTTTTTTGCAATATTTTCTCTTTTCCTGGAAAATACCTAAATAGATCAAATCATCTCTAATGTGTGTTGAATCATGTATACCAAATCCATCTCCACACCTTTCGCACACAAAAGCTCTTTCAGAAAGCAGAAATAAAGCAGGGGAAGTTTGAAGAATGGATGTTGTTTGATGCACTATATCTTTCTTAGATAGTGGCCAACATGTTTTTTTTCTCTGCTTCCTTTGTGAAAGCTCCTGCGTTTTCGCAATGACAGCATAATGTCTACACTCCCTGAGCCACCAGGAAACGATTCCATTGTGAGGAGGAACAAAGAGGGAGAAGACACTCTACCCAGAAGGTAGACAGTTACACGCTCTCAGATTACTCAAGAGCCCTGCTTTCTAAACAAAACGATTAAAAGGCCAGGATTCAGTCAACGTTTGTCCTTAACTTTGGCTCATGATATAAATGCAGGTGTTCATTTTTTTTCCTTCACCAGCGTAGTTCAGCAACAATAACAATAACAACGAGGAGAGAGATGATACAGAAATGCTTCAGCAATTTGAAACCACCATTATCCCATTTTTGACAAAATACTGCCCGCCCGCGGTTTTTGCGCTCTCCTGCAAAGTTGACGTGGCCATGATGGGAGGGTTAGCTTGTGTTGGGTCACAAGTGACGTGACAACCTGTTCATGTGGAGAAAAAGCATAACGCTCTTAACTCAATTTCAATTTCAAATTTAAGGACAAATGTTTGTTTGAATCCTGGCATAAGTTAGCTTGGATGGCTAAGGGTGAAATTGTAAATTCTGCTTATTACACAGTTGTTGAATGTTTTGAGAAGTCGTTTGACTTACCTAAATGTTTTCTTTCTTTTCTAGTCTGTATGACTTTGACTGCGACAGCGGTGACAATATGGAGCTTTGTGGTACAGTATTTTAGAAAAAAAGTTTGGAAGATGTTGAATTGCAATAACTACATATGTTCTCATGTAATCAGTCTCTACTTACCGAACAATCATTACAGCTACAAATTTACTTTTTTTTCTTTATGAAATAACTAACAAGCAGGACACAAGAAAAAAACTATAATCCAAGGAAATGTTCACATTCAATGCTTTTAGTCTGGGAAAAATAACACTGAGAGCTTTTCTTATGACATTAATGCACCAGTTTTTTTTTTTTTGACAAATTATCCCTCTAAATGAAAATGTACTGGAGACATGGATATTTGTTGGCTTGCCAGATTTTATTCCTATTGTTACATATGCATAGATAAAAAATACAGGCAACCAAGCCAAACCGCAGGGGTCCTTTAGCAGGGTTATGAGGAATCTGAGAGACTCAAAGGGATAGCAGGGGCTATCCCTTTGGGGGCAGCCTATAGCCTAGTGGTTAAGATACATGACTGGGACCCCTGAGGTTGGTGGTTCAAATCCCAGTCCAGCCCCAGCAAGAACACCATTGCTGTTGGGCCCTTGAGCAAGAGCCCTTAACCCCATATTGCTCCCAGAGGGAATTGGCCCTTGGTTAGTCTAATCAACTGTAAGTCACTTTGGATAAAAGCATCAGCTAAATGACTGTAATGTAATGGATACAAACATTTCTACAGTATGGAGCACACGATAACTTTCCTCATTCTGAAGTCTTTAAGTCACGCTATGTTACATTAGGCTTACCTCAGCGTACCTCCCCACATAGCTTAAACATGTTAACATTTCACAGCCTATGTCTTGTATAACCTCAAGCATGCATGGGGCTGGTTTATGGGAGAAACGTGCACACCTCACCTTATTTATAGGGTATATAGTATAGCATACTGCATGGCAATGGCTAGCCCTGTCTCAGCCATTTACTTTTGAAAGGAGACTTATGCTACTGCACACTAACGAGGAAAAGGTGATTTCAACTGATTTCAACACAATACAATATTTAAACACCCCATGGATTGTAATTAATAAAATGTATGTGTATGGCACCTTTTATATGTAATTTTCATATTTTTGAAGGAAAAATGGAAAACTCATAGTTTATTACACATTAGCATTAATTCAAATTTTCCAGTTTTGTAACTTTTTTGTTCATGTTATGCAAACTTTTTTTCTGTTGAAGTGATTTTTCAAATGCCTTATTCTTTGGATAATGATTGTATGTTTTGAGTTTTTGAATGTCTTGATGTCAAACTTTGAAAATTGATTCTGAAAATGAATAATAAGCATTGTAACCTGGGAAAAATGAAATACTTACACTTTAAATTAATTATTATAGTGCAAAGCTGTCTTTATTTAGAGCTATCCTCTGTTCTGAAGCAACACATCCTTCAATAAATTCCAAGAATCTGACACTGCGTCACATCAAGGCATCCATAAAAACAAACCTTGCACTTCCAGAATGTTCACAGGCAACTTTGAAAACCCTTGAGTTATTATGACAGGATTTTATACAAGCACATTTTATACAAGAATAGTCTCAAACACGTTTAGTGATGCAAGGTCAATGTATTTCTCTACTTCAGATCAAATATCTCAGCTTTCAAAAAAAACCTGGACTGAAAGATTTATAATTCAGTTTCACCACTTCCATGGCTTTCGTAGTCAACAGGTTGTCGCTCACATCATTGAGAGACTTTGCCTTGCACAATAATGCAAAACACTTTCAATTTGTCTGCCTCAGCTTACTTTTACTTTGCAATCTGTAGGGATAGAAAATGCTATACACACTCTCACTAAACCACTTACTATTTTTACTATAATTCAGACATCTCTCCTCTGACTGTGGAAACTTTTTATTTCTACCAGCTGCAAATATGCAGTGCTGATCACACTTTTGTTCATTTCCCCCAGATTTAGAAAAACAATATATGCATTGACACATTAATAACTTGTGCCCTTAATTAGAATTAGTTACTTTATACTTGTTCCTTTCAGTTCACACTTCAGTTTCACTATTTTTTGAGAACAACACTTTTTCTGTTTTCTCAAGAACCAACAGCTCCCTGTGGTCGATTCCAACAATTGCAAGAAATATCATTGGCTGAGGAAGTATAGCAATGAGTTTTTCTAATGCAAAAGTAGAAAAAACCTATGCACATACTGACCTGTGGAAATTAAGCAAAGTACTTTCTGTTATATTCATATATACTCATAATTGTATACCTAGATACTTATAATTCTGAAGATCTCACAGGGAATTTTAAAGTCACATGATCCTCCACATCCATTGTCTCAACAGCAAAGTCAATGCCTTATCACATAGAGATGTACAAATATTGTACAAAAGCAGCCATGTGGGTTTAGGAGCGGTGAATGTATAAATACGAAAGGAAAAGAGGAGATAAACATATCCATGTCAGTGAACCATCTGTCAAATCAGATCAAAACTTGAAATAAAGAAATTATTTCAACACTTGAGTGAGATGTGTTTCCCTCCTGGGAATGCGTTGATGTTGATGCACTACGCTGTTTAGGCATCGGAGAATGCGTGCTGTCTATCTGGAAAGCGAACGTGGATTTTTTTTTTTTTGCTAATTTTTTTATTTCAGACGAAGACGCTGACAGATTTTCCCATGGACCTCCTTCAATCCACTCCTCATCTTCCTCCCATCAGTCTGAGGGCGTGGAGTTGGACCTGGAACAAGTCAACAACATCTTCAGAAAGTTCTCCCTGGAAAGGTACAGTTTTCCTCTGTTCACACAATGTGGGTTGGCCCATTTGACAGGCTATATAACTAATATCACAGAAGATATTGTGATTTTATCATTTTAATTGTTTGGTTAATTTTTCTTAATTTCCTCTTGTCTGCCTGTGTTGTCAATTGCAAATTTCTGGGTCACTCATGAATTGGAGATTCAAACAGAACTGTTATAATATAATTATGATGCAGATTAAAGCTAGTATATATTCCTCCTGAAAGCTAGCAAATGTTCTCCCTACCTGGTGATGCAAACACTCTGTAGGCTTTGTTGAGGAAGGGAGGGGCTCTAAGGAAGTGATAATATCTGAAGTGTATGTTCATCCAAACTGACAAGGTAGCAGATTTGAGTCTCAGTGAAAAGTATGCGTGTTGTTCTTGGTACAAGCTACCAAGAGCAAGAGATATTGCGCTCCGGGTCTAATCATAAGCTCAGTTTACAGATCCGCGCAGAGGAGTCCCCTGTATGACGTTGATCACAGTGCTTTGATTTAGTGTTCAGTCTTTAAAATTGTACTAACTTTAATAATCAGTGTTCATTTGTTTGATTTATCTGTTTGCGTAAAACCCATTTGTGCAGAAAATAATATTTGTTTTCTCTGTATTCCCCCAAAATGCGCGGCCTGCTGTATAGTGGTCTTTTTCACCAATCTCCTGTATTTACATGGTCTTTTCATCTGGTGTTATTCAGAAGTATGTGCTTAAGCTGGTATTGTGCTGTGTAGGCATGCAATTGAATGAGCTCCAGCAGATTATAAGACAAAAATGTTTAGTGGTCTGTACAATTATCATTTGTCTAAACAGCAATAATGAAGACTGTTAACTTGAAAGGATTCTTTTTCCCAAGGCATCGACACATCTATTTAATATTTTTCATCCTAGTGTCACATTGTATCTAATTTATTATTTAGAATGGAGATCACAGTAGAAATGCAGAATAAATAGCTGTCTATAAATAACCACTGATTTGAACATGAAAGCAAACATCGAAACACTGTGCCTGATTTTTTTCTATTCATCAACAATTCTGTCAGATCTTGTTTTGAAGAAATTGGCTGAAACAGTCTTTTCTGTTGTCCTGCTTATCTGAAATAATAAATGGTAATGGTGGGCTCCCGTTGTGAGCTGCGTACAAATCAAGCCAAAGGCCCCTGAGCGACAGTTGTCATCTGTCTCAGAACTAATTATATCAAAATGAAAATGGAGCCAATGTTTAAAGTTCAAGTGAGTCATTAAATTTTTTGGAAGAAAACTCAACATTTCTTAATATATGTATTTTTTTTTTGCTTTGGTGAATAGAACAGAGGGAATATATGACTCACGGCTTCATTGTTCGTTCTTCATTGACTCAGTCTTGATTTTCTGCTGCCGCTTCATTCATTTGTCAATCACATCATGTTTATTTTGTCAGCGAACACTCAGTGTTTTTTTTTTTTTTTTTAAACCTGGATTGACTTTTCCCTCCGCAATGCTAAATCATTTAAATGTGTCTCTGCCATGCTTACATGGGGGAAAGAGCTGCCTCTGGACGTGAAGCTTTGTCAGAACGAATCAGAATCTGTAAAACTGGATTCTTTATTTTCCTTATGTGAATCACAAGTATGACAAATATGTGCTCTGCTATCTCTTCCCAGCAGGATGTTTACTTCTCCATCCACTTCTGCGCACGTGTTCATGTCCAACATGAAATTAATTTATGTCAGTATCTTAATGTGTGCCGCCGTTTGTGACATTTGAGATGATTCTGAACACCCATACGTGTGTTTGTGTGTGTGTTTGTGTTATGTGTGTTTGCATGTGCGTGTATGTGTGTGTCTGCATGCGTGTATGTACCATGTATGTGTACGTATGTGTAAATGTGTGTGTCATGTTTGTGTGTCTGTGTGTGTGTCACCATGTATTTGTCTACGTATGCATGTGTGTGTGTACAAATCTGTGTGTATGTGTGCGTGTCTGTGTGTCCGTGTTTTTATGTTTGTGTGTGTGTGTGTGCCTGCATGTATGTGTGTCTGTATGCATGTTGGGGTCTGTCTATGTCTGTGTCTGTGTTTGTGTGTATGTGTGTGTGTGTGTGTGGGTATATGCGTATCCCTCAGACCGTTCCGGCCTTCCCTTACCTCCTTCACGCGCATCAGCAGCACCTTGCGCCCGGTGCAGGACCTCTCTCTCCCTGGTGACTCCTTCCTGTCTGAGGTGACTCTGATAGGAGGCAACGCCAGTGGGATCTTCATCTCCTACATCCAGCCAGGGTCTCACGCCGAGAAGGTCGGCCTGAGAGAGGGACACCACCTCCTACTGGTGAGGGAAAGGCCACCTGGTGTTTGCAACTTTACTGAACAACCAAATTCACCAAATTTTACTTTCGAATTGCGCCAAGTAATACAGTTTAAAACAGCCCAGTGGTTCTTTGTGCCTAATCATTCACGAAGCGTTTGACCCATCTAAGCCAGAACTCTGAACGTTTATTTAATCTACCCCTCACTGTTTCCTCAATCTAAAGTACTTCCTCTGGCACCTACCGGAACACTTAATGATATGCGGGTTGATGTAACTATCGTGGTCAGTTGTGGCACTAACAAGTTGACATTGCCTCTGCTGGGTATACTAACCTATTCTCTCCACTGTTGTAAGTCTCTCTGAATAATGCCTGAATGTAAATGTTGCATGCACTTTTGTAGGTAGCTCTGGAGAATGAATGCCTGAATGTAAATGTTTATTTAGCCAAATTGACGTGTTTACTGTACTTCCTCAGACTCAAAAG